CGTGCTGGGAGCCCGTCTGCTCGGCGAGGAGAGGAGGGGGCTGCCCCACTTTTGGGGTACCTCTGCACTCCGAAAGGGGAGAGACAGGGCTGCAGGTAGCAGTGACATGGCCCCTTCCCTCCCTGAGCCTCCTGCCAACCTTTCACAGCACAGCTTAGCAAAATCAACCACAGCTCCATTCAAAGATGTTCGGCCACAACTCCATTCTTCCTCTGTGGTCTCTCGAGGACCACGTGGCCTTTGTATTGTCTCCAAAGCAAAAAAACTGTAGCGTTTTGAGGCCAAAAGCTGGGGATCTGTTCTAGGGAAGGGCCTCCTCCCAGATGTTGAGGCAGGGACTCCCAAAACTTGGAGAGCTGCTGCAGCAGATTTAGGAAGGGGGACATTGCTCAGCTTTATGGTGCCTTGTTGCTTGGTAACACTTTTGGGAGGTGGAGCTGAAACCAAACTGGATTTGAAGCACCAGCCCATTATTTATTTTTTTTTTTTGCTATAATTTAAGGCATTGGGAGCGGAGCAGCCTGGTATCTGCTGCTGCCTGCCCGCCTCCAGAGAACAAACTGACCCTCTCTTCCCCACTGCTCCAAAATGTCATCGCGTCCCTCGGGGTCACTTCCTTTACATGGTTCTGGTGGTTGGGGCTTTGCTCTGGGGTGAATTCTACCTAATTTACCTTCTGAAGGTGACCAGGGTGCCCTAGAGCCCCCAAACTGGGAGCAGGGGGACTGTAAGTGCAGGTGGAGACCCATGGCTTAGCCCAAGACTATCACTGTCCTTGCCGTGGGATGCCTGCGCTCCCGAGCCCACCAGTGCATGCAGCAGAAAGCCATCTCTCTGCTTCTCTGTTCCTTCCCATCGGATTTATCTGTGCGACGAGTCCAGCGAACGCGAGGAAAGGAGACTCCCCGGTGTCAGTGCTCAGCAGACGCTAAACCCGAGGGAATCCCCTTTCAGCCTCTCCAGCTCCTGTCACCTTTGTGTTTTTTTCCCTCTTGCCAGTTGGTTTTGATTACGGTCGTCTCCGCTGGGGCTTGGGAGGCTGTGGGCTCTGCGTTCGCAGCGATGATGTTAGATCACTCACTGTCACTCTTTTTTTTTTTTTTTTTTTCTTTTTTCCCCCTGTCTTCATTTTTGCATGCCACTGTTCTTCTGTATTGCAGCCACAGTAGAAGCGGTAGAGGCACGGGAAGGTATGGCTAGAATCCGGCAAGAGACTCAAATCATCTCTGTGTGTGCGTGCGTGCGCTAATTTTAAAGAGCTTTATCAACTTTATGGAAGCTTTTTACTCTTGCATCACCAGAAATGGGGGAGGATGGGCCCCTGCTGGGAAGCGACAAATACAGAGTGGGCTGGTTCAAGTCGATTTTAGCCTTAATGAGGCTGTGGCTTAGTGCACGACCTTTATTCCGAGAGTGCCCTCTCTCCGGAGCGGTTTGTGCTCTGGTGTCTCAAGACTTTGGCGTTGGGGGTCCTGCAGTCTGGTCTCAGATGCCTCGTGGCTGAGTTCATCCCCTGGGTGACTCGATCTGGTGAAGAAGCTTGGTCCAAATCCTTTAGGAAATAGCAGATTGCGTGGCTCTGATGTCATCCTTGCCTTCCCCGCAGGTGGGCCAAGGTGGTCGCGGTGTGGAGAAGCAGTTTTCTCCCTGTGGTTCGTGTAGAAATGACAGATTCACGAGGCTACCGTCTGGGGAGATTTTCTCCTCAATAGCTCCATTCAACTCCTGATGAACGGGGCCGTACCTCTGTGTAGAGAATTTCTTGATTACCAGGGGAAGTTTGTTTGTAAAGCAGCCAAGTCCTTGTAAAAAGATTTGGCACAAACCCCTTTTTCTTAAATTATCTGTAATACAAAGAAGTTAAACATTTGGTCCGTATCATCACCGCAGGGATGATGTACTCAGCCCACGTAGTGATGAAACGGAGATACGCCTGCCCTTGGTGGGATTTCATCACTCGTGACCCTGCCTGTGTGTCTCCTGGTCATGCAAGAAGCGTTGCGTTTGTGATCCGAGGAGTAGCTGTTTCCCCTCTCCTGGTGTCGCAGTGTGTGGTTTGTGTCGGAGTTAAAGCCTTGTGGTGGTGTCTTGTGTTGTGTTAGTTTTGCCTTTTTTTTTTTTTTTTTTTTTTTTTTTTTTTTTTT